AAGATGTAAGACAAAGTGGAAAAAGTTTTCATGTAACACATTTCATCCCTTAGGACTTCATTGGATTAAGTTTTTTAAGTTGATGCAAATACACATGTACATGAATGAGAGATGCTGGGAATTTTTAATTTTGAAAATATTTAAAAAGATTTTTTTTTAATAATGTGTTTTGGGTTATGTTATTTTTTGTTTTGTTTTTTTAATAATGTTTTGTTTTGGTTTTTTATATATATATATATATATATATATATATATATATATATATAGGTAGATATTAGCAACCATATATGCATGTGCTGGCATGCATACTCTGGTAAGCAAATAAATAATTAGAAAATATAGCCAAGAGGTGTAGACAAAATAGTAATCAATATAGCTAAGAAATATGTTAATAAATACACATATACCTATATTTGGTGTGCAACTGTGTATTTATTATATATATATATATATATATATATATATATATATGTTAATAAATACACATATACCTATGTTTGATGTACGACTCAAATTTTGTTGGTTACCCAAATGATCAGGCAAGAGATATCACTCATTGTTTATTTAAAAAGGATACAGATATGCATCTGTATATTTTTAAATAAACAATTGTAACAATGAAATTTGAGTCGCACATCGAATGTAGGTATATGTGTATTTGTTAACATATATATATATATATATATATATATATATATATATATATATATATATATATATATATATTAATAAATACACATATACCTACTGATTGAAATTGCACTGATCTCACAATACTAGCAAGATGTGGTATATGAACTAATAGAGAAAAAAAGTGGATTTAGTGTGGGCTAATTTCAGATCAAATCAACTGTAAGAGTTCCAATATAAAAAAAAAAAACTTTTTGGCCATAGCATTTGATAAAGTTATTTCTTACCCTTCCTCAAAAATTAAAACAAACACTTCCCTTATACATGGGTTCATCCAATAATGACATCCCAAATTTCCAAGAAAGGCATGTAATCTTTAGGAGACTATTTTGCTTACTTCCTTTTCAATCTAAGAATGGAAACAAATCACTTTATATAGTATCAAAAAGAATTAAACCATTTTGATAATTTAATAGAGAGCATACTTTATTAAGATATTTCCAGATTGAAATTTTGCTTCCACCATATTTCTGTTCAGAAGTCTGATGCTTTTTTGACTCTAGTGCCATCAGCTGTTCTATGGTTTCTTAGCCACATTCAAACTGAATCACTGCAGTTCCAAAGATCCAATGGAAGATCTATCCAATTTATGACAAGAAGATTTGCCGCATTTTTAACTTCAAGATGATTTCTTTTGTCAGAACAGATTATGTTCATCACAGGAAACTCACAGAACTTACAGCAATGTTATTAATTATGTTTTTAGCTACTATATATCTGCTCACTCATATATTGGTTCACTAAGCTTTTATAATTTTAAGAATTGCTTTACAAAAACCCTAATTCCAACCTGAAAACATTTGCTATAAAGCTGCAAAACATGTTGTCTCAACAAGCTTTTCAACTTTCATTATATATATATATATATATATATATATGGTATAATGATGTATAAATTTTTATATATCAAGAATAGTTTTTGAAAGAATTTATATATATATATATATATATATATATAGATGCATGACAAATTGGAAAATTTTCCAATTTGTCATACAACTTTTCTTTCAAAACTCTTTCTTATATAAAATTTATATATCATTATCCCATATATATATATATATATATATATATATATATATATATATATATATATATATATCAATATTTTCCAAATAAAAGTGAGATTACACTTAAAATATTTATCATTATTAAAAGTATTGATCATAATTTTTTTAGAGAGGGTTTGTTCATTTTATTATTCTAATTTGATAATTTAATAGAGAGCATAATTTATTGAGATATTTCCAGATTGAAATTCTGTTTCCATCATATTTCTGTTCAGAAGTCTGATGCTTTTTGACTCTAGTGTCATCAGACATTATTGGTCCTAATTATGAAGGTTAGATAAGGTAGAAAGCATGACCCATCAATTGTTAAAAGACAATATATAGACACTTGTATTTAGAATCAGAAAGATGTAGTTGACATTTTTGTGGCAGATAATGAGAAAAGAGGGCTTGGAGAATTTGGCACTTACAATACATATTGAAGCAAACAAACAAAGTGTAGAATTTTTTATTTATAAATACTGGGTGTCCATAAAGTCCCTTTACAATTTAAAAATTTTATTACAAAAGCAAATGAAATTGTTACAAAATGAGGAGTAGATATTGAGGTTTTTAACTAATTTAATACACCTCTATATGGGCACAATTAGTTGCATGAAGCAGATCTAGATGGTACTCAATTTCTTGCCCTGTTCGCTGTAGCATAGCCTCATCAATGGTGGCAATGGCATTAGTGATCTTTTGCTTTAGATCAGTGATGTCGTGTATCTTTGTTTGATACACGATATCTTTAACTTAACCCCATACAAAGAAATTCAGGGGAGTGATATTTAGTGAATGAGGTGGCCAGGGAATTGGGCCATCCCTTCCAATCTGCCAGGCTGAAAATGTTTGATTTAGAAACCCATGAACATGCAAATCCCAATGTGACAGTGCACCATCTTGCTGGAAACTGATGGTCGTTTGAAGGTCATCTAGTTATGGTGCGACATCAATTGCCTTTGTAATGTATTTTTTTAAATTGTAAAGAGACTTTATGGACACCTCGTATATCCAAAAGATCTAAGTCAGAGAAACATATATTACATAGACTATACAAAAAAACTTGATAATTTACAACATAAAGATCTGTATTGAACTCTTGGGAAACTCAGTTTAACATTTATGTTGGAAATTATATTAGAACATGTACTGGGAAGAAACTCCCTGCATCCAGATAGAAAATGAATGGAGCAGGTACACAAAAATAGAAAAGTCATATGACAAGGGTGTGTCTTCTCACCAGACTTATTTCATTCCTATTGCAAGACAATCCTAAGAGAACTAGAAGTCCTAACAGGATTTAATATTGGTGTGCACAATTGTAACAACATAAGATGACACTGTGTTGATTGCAGACATTATCATTTTTTTTTTACAATAAAATTCATTTTGTACAAGGCCCAAGAATAACTTAGGGTAGAGGGTTACAGAGAAAGAGGTAAAAGGTATGTTTATAAGGATATATAGGGAAGATAATGATTAACCCTAGACTTGAACAGGTCAAGACTGGGAAACATCCTCTTGGAGTCGGTTTCACAATGCAGCAGTTTGTGGAAAGAAACTGCCTGAATAGAATTTATCTCACCAGTGGAATACATAGGGAATGAGGGTGGTTTGCTACAATATGTGTAGCATAGAGGGTCCTAATTATGAAGGTTATAACTGGTAGATAGAAATCTGCAGGAACTCTTAGATAAGGTAGAAAGCATGACCCATCAATTGTAAAAAGACAATATATAGACACTTGTATTTAGAATCAGAAAGAGGTAGTTGAAATTTTTGTGGCAGATAATGAGGAAAGATGGCTTGGAGAATTTGGCACTTACAATACATATTGAAGGCAAGTAGGGTAGAGCAAAAAAGAGAGTAGCTAAGCTCACAAGCTTGAGTAAATGAATGGCAGAACAGTTGTTGATGGCAGAACAGATCCTTCCCAGTCTCTCTTCTGCTATCAACAGTGTCAGTAAGAGGGCAAACATTACTTAGGGCTACAAAGGATAAGAAGTTATGGAGGGCTAAATCACCCAAGTCCTCAAGGAATTTCTCCCATGGTGTTACTCAATCAGCAGTTAAATGTCATTTTTTCAACTTGAGTACTATGTAACCGTCACATACAACAATGAAAAAACAAGCAGTCTCATGGTGATTTAGAAGAAAATATCATTCATGTCTGTAACTGACTTCCATCCAAATTTAGCTTTCTATGACATAGCTTTTTCCAAATCTAAAATCAATAGGAATAATGCAGCTGATGGCAATACCTAAAGGTGATTTTGTAGGCTGGTTTGAAAAGTGAAAGCAATAATGGGATAAGTATGTGAGGCTCTAAGAGAAGTACTTTGAAGAGGACTAAAGTTTCATTGCCCTAGGTAGGCTATTGCTTTCATTAATATTAAATAATAGGATACTTTCCCAGGAAGACTGAATATAATAATGATCATTCTTCATCTTAGAAATTCAGAGAGAAATTATTTGTTTGTAACTTATATTGAGAATTGTTAAATTTGAAAAGTGTATGTGATTTAAATGTAGTATGGACTTTTGTCACTACCATTTGTAAGCCAGTCTGTAAACAGTCAAAATCTGCCATTTGTTCATGCATTGAATATTGCTGTCAAATCTGGCATATGCTCCTGCTATATATCTTGAGATTCTTGACAAAATTCAAAGAAGGGTCAGGTAACATGGTTGATCCTAATGTGACATCTTGACTTCAGTCATTTACTCACTGATGTAATATGGCTTCCATCTGACTTTTCTACAAATATTTTCATGGCAACTGTTCTCATGAGCTCTTTTCCCTAAAGCCTTGACTACATGAATTTAAGAGTGATACTAGATGGGCAATTAGGTCCCACTGTTTTATTGTTGAACTAACTAGATGCAACTGCCATTTCTGTTCTAATAGTTTCTTTTCTTGCACTTCTCACCTGTGGAACTCCCTTTCAATTTCTTTCTTCCCTGATAACTACAATCTTCAAAAATTGAAATGCAATGTCAATCATCATCTTTTGTCTTCCTGAACCCTGTTCCTCTATTGTCCTTTCCTCACTTCTCTTCACTAAAGTCTTCTCATTTTCTTTTACTCCTTGTAATCCCCTGTGTCCTAGTGGCATTGTCATCTTGCTTGGGGTGTAGTGACTAAAAAAATCTCTTTCCAAAATAGTCTGTAATCTGCATTAAATTTTGTTTTACCAATAAAACAAATCTGCAGCATAAACCCACTCAATAACCTATGATAAGTTTAACACTGGAAGCATGAAAAACGTCACAAAAGTGCATTGGGCCGTAACTGCAGATCATAGAAAAACTACCCATGATGATTGTTTGAAGAGCATTGTTCATCAGAAACTGTCCAATGCATTTTAATGAACATTTTGAACATTTCTGGTCTGTAGCTGAAACATCTGTGATGAGATTATGATAGTGGAAAATACTGCTATGTAATATGTAATCCCCTACAGGGTAGGGAATATGAGACTCACAGATGAAAGAAAAGACTCGAAGCAATAGAGATGTGGTTTTAAAGAAGGATGTTGAGAAGCATTAACTGCTAGAACCAAATTGATGCAACATGTGAGTAAGTAACACAGAAATTTTAAGATGAATATGAACAACGACAAGTAAATTGTTGCTAACAATCAGAAATCTGAAATTTCTATGACAAATAGTAAGGAAGAATAAAGAATAAAAAACATATTACCTAGATCAATAAAATACAGAATATTGTGGAGAGTCATGATTACCCAGAAGAAGTCTATTGACAAGTGTTAATCTACTTCTAAAATTGATTTCAAGATCTTGAAATATCTGATTGAAACTTCAATCAGATATTTTAATATTGAAACTAAACATTCTATATCTTTTTCTATCTCTCTTTCTTTCTTTGTTTTTTTTCTCTCTTTCTTTCTTCTCTCTTTCTGCCTCTCTTTCTTTCTCTCTTTCTGTCTCTCTCTGTTTCTTTCTTTCTTTCTTTTTGTCTTTTTTGTCTCTTTCTTTATTTTTTCCTTTTTCTATTATTCCCACTACCTTTTTATATCATTCTATTTCTGAACTTTTATCTTTGTCTTCCCTCTCTTTGAATGTCATTCTTAATTTTTAATTCTGTACCTCTACACCAGTATTTGTTGTCTTCTCAGTGTCAGTGTTTCTCTCTTTTTCCATGTCAATTATTTCTTTTTGTCATTTTCACTCCCTCTTTGTTCAGATTTACTGCCTCCACTCCTTACTCTCCTCTCTCTTTTAGTCAGTCTCTGTTTTTATATAATTTTCACTCTGTTCTACCTGCCCATATCTATCTATCTATCTATCTATCTATCTATCTATCTATCTATCTATCTATCTATCTATCTATCTAATGAACTATAGGACTTTTCTAACAAAAATGTCAAAATATATCTTTAGAAATGTAGCTGTGGTATTTGAAAGGCTTCTGTTTACCCACTTTCTCTCTTTTTTCTCTCTATCTTAAGTTCTGTCATTCTCATGTTTTTCACTTGTCTCTTTCTCTTTTGTCATTCAGTTTCTCTCTTTTCTCCCTTATCTATCTATCTATCTATCTATCTATCTATCTATCTATCTATCTATCTATCTATCTATCTATTATTTTCATTTTTATCTCTTATCACTTTCTCTTTTAATGTGTCTCACTTCTTTGTCTGTCTCACACTCCCTCCTCTCCCTCTCTCCCTCTCTCTCTCTCTCTCTATTTGGACCTATCATTCTCATCTTTATCTCCTGCCACTTTCTCTTCTGGTGTCTCTAACTTTCATCTCTCTGTGTCACTTTCTCTCTATCACTCTTTCTCATAATTACTTTATTTTGATATTTGAGAAGATATATATATTTTCCTATCTCTTAATACTTTGCTTAATTTCTGGAAAGGATCTTTTGCCAGATAGGAAGACTGATATTACATTGCATTTTAGCACTCTTTGTTTCTAACTAAATTTTCCTATTTCTTAATACTTTGCTTATTTTCTGGATGGCATCTGTTGCCACCTAGGGGGATTGATATTACATTGCTTTTAGCTATACTTTAAGCTATTATGAAGGATGAATTTTATTTTTACTTTTAACTGAATGTATGGATTGTTTTATGTATCTATCTATAGTTTTAGGAATGTTTTATTTTCCCAAACTTGGTCAGCACATTGTAGCTGTGTTCATAGTTGATATTACTGAGCATTGGCTTTTTCTTTTTTATTAATAATGTTTCTATTAATTTTAGCCATTTTTATCAAATCATCTTTGGTAATGTCTAAAAGTATAGCTGAAAGCATTCACACATACAAAACATTTGGACAATTTCTGCATAATTTATGTTCAGAACAGAAGAAAATTATTAGAACACAAGAAAAATTGAACAAAAAGCTTAACTGCAGTAACTTGATAGTTGTTTTTAATGCAACTTGTATAAAAGATGGATTGCGGCCCAATGTATATATTGCAATACTTTTGGCAAGATTGAAATATACTTACCACAACAGATAAGTATATTTAGCTGTAGATAATTTTTTTATTCATTTTCTGCAAACAGATCTGAGCAGAATGTATGAATGAAAATAAGAAAATCAAAGAAATGTCACCAATGCAAAATATTAAGAATATTTTTCGTAAAGAATGTTTTTGTGAAGTTCTTAAAAATAAGAATAATATTTCTGTTTTATTTTTTTAATCAAGCTTCTATGAATTTGTAAATGGATAAGCTCCTATTTAAAGCTGAAAAATAAGAAAAAAAATTTTTGCAATAAATACATGAATCCAGGTTCCTTTCTTAGAATATAATGTGTCGTAGTTCACAGGGATTGTGCTTTGTTGTGGTATAATGGTTAAGAAACACAAATTATTACATCTGAGTAGTGAGTCTATTCATTAGTTGGAGACTCATATGTGTGGGCTTGTGTCAACATTGATCTATGAGAAATAAATGGCTAGCATAATAAATAGTATGATAAATAGCTAGCATAATAAATAGTATGATAAATAGCTAGCATAATAAATAGCTAGCATAATAAATAGTATCATAAATAGCTAGCATAATAAATAGCTAGCATAATAAATAGTATCATAAATAGCTAGCATAATAAATAGTATCATAAATAGCTAACATAATAAATAGCATTCTCAGAGATCATGCTGGTGAACACTGATTGTATTATTTTTATTTTAATCTGTTTTTTCACAAATGAATGTATGAAAATAGATCAATATATTTATAGCCTGAAATTGAAGTATGAAGATGTGCAGAAAGTTCTAAGTTTGACTCACATCTTAGAATGAGTATTTTAATGATCAAGATGAGTATTTGAATGAATTGAATGACTTAACAATGAAGGAGATTATGTTGAAAAATAAATATTTATTCTGCAAAATAAATGCTTTCTTCATAATTAGTCTACAGTTTCATGCACAATAGAATCATTATAGCTCTGTTATGATACATTGAGCACTATTTTTGGATTGTTTTATCTATCTTTCTATAATTATAGATTGATACATAAAACAGGCACTCAGTATTTTATATTCATACAGTGGAGTAATGGATAGCAGCTCGGATTGAGGAATCGAAGAGCTGAGTTCAAATTCCAGTTGAATCCATTACATTCACTTATGTGCTAATACTCTTGGGAAAGTTATTAATCTTCTTTTTCTCCACACAGGACAGACCGGGTTCTATAGCCTTGGATGGCAACTGGTCTAGCACAGAAAGGCAACCTACTGCAGGAAAAAATCTGCCTTGTCAGTCATGTATTGAAAGATACATGAATGCTTAAGTGTGTATCACACATGGCACATAACTTACTAACTGACTATATTTATGGATTAAAGTGCTCAATACCAGGGATAGAGCATATGCAAATATAAAAGTGGACATTGAAGACAACACCAAGAGGCAACAGTCTGTTTCATGCTAAATGCAATGCAATTGTCATGCCATATATATATATATATATATATATATATATATATATATATATATGTATAGTGTGTCCCATAATTATGGTACATAACAAGTATCTTGGATTATAAAAAATGAAATAGATTACCAAATATATTTATTGCATAACTGAGTTCAATATATTATCTAAGATTTTGCTATTTCCTACAGGTATCTGATATCTTTTTTATTGAGAGTGGACCCTCATAATGTCCGTGTTTGAAATAAAAATGCTGGCTCATGCATGTTCTCTTCATGGTAGTGACCATCTCAGGGATGCAATATTCAAATCTTAGATAATATGTTGAACTCATGTATATCAGTTATGTAATAAATATATTTCATTCTCTATGTAATTTTTACAATCCAAGATACTTGATTGTAAAATGAGTAACATTATTATGAGACACCCTGTATATATATATATATATATATATATATATATATATATTGTGTGTATTCAGGCAGTATTTTTTCATTCATACATGTTTCATTAAATAATATAGACAAGTGTTATTTTGTCTATTTATTTTATGTAAATTCTTTTCATAACATCTGATAAGCTTAATAACATTATCATTAAACGAAGAAAGAAAATTGCTATATTGATCCATATTTTTCAATCCAATCTAAGCTATTGGCTTACATAAGCCATTATCAAAGATGTCAATTACTGTCCAATATAGTAAAAAATATATGGACAAGATAGTGATGATAATCTGTTTCTGTTTACATGGATGATTTCCAAGCAACGATAAACATATAAGACACTGGAAGCAAAAATTGCATCGCAGCTCAGGACATCACACATGACCATGCAAGAGTGAATTCGAGAAGTATTAAGTATGAGAAGCCATTGGTATAAACCAATGGCTTCTGTTACCAATTATAGATATTTAAGGATATTTGTGGAGATTTCATAGTTGATTTTGTCTAAGTTAGGTTAAATAAATAAATAGACAACACTTGTCTATATTATTTAATGAAACATGTATGAATATATATATATATATATATATATATATATATATATATATATATATATATGAGTAGAAAATATTAGAATATAGCTCAATGAGTGCTGGTGGTAATAAAAGTGCTCGCTTTAAAATAACAGAGCTAAAATTTATACTATCAATAATTTTCATCCCACTATTTGGTACAATTCTGAGTTTCATGCATGCAGCAATCTTCAGGTACTGATTGAAAACTGATCTACTAGAAATAATGTTTGAAGCAATGAAAATGTAAGATTAAAAATAAATCCATTAATTATTTATAAATATATATATATATATATGTATATATATATATATATATATATATATATATATATATATATATTTATTTTTAATTTTGCTTACACTTTATTTTTGATGGATACTCATACTTGAGTAGAAGCTCTGTTTTTTTAATTAAACAGTATTTTTTATTTTTTTATCCAACTATTTCTACCAGCCTGAATATACAAGAAATATACATCTTCCAGCAGGATTCAAACCTGCATCCCCTAAGAAGAACCATCATGAGATCTGACGTGCCTAACTGCTTGGCCACATAGGACTTATGGTCAAAACAAAGCCCGAATAGTGCTTTTGAACACACACTCTCTGCCGATTCTCGAAACATCCATATCTGCTCTGTTTTGTTTCTTAATGTAAACAAAAACAAGATTTCTGACAAGATTTCTTGTATATTCAGGTCTCAGAAATCTTGTCTTTATTCACGTTAGGATATGAAAGGCTAAGATATGGTCTCAAGCCTTGAATTTCAACCTTCCTAGAGATGGTGTCTCAATACAAAACACTTGGTGTACTTGAACTCCCATGAGTGTCTGAACTGGGTGTCAGGAAAAGCATCTGGCCTTGTAAAATCTAACTTCAAATGATGCTTAAACACAATCTTCGAGGTATATATATATATATATATATATATATATATATATATATATATATATATATATATAAAAGGCAGGGTGTGTGTGTGTGTAATGAATGTACGGCTGCAATTTTCGATGAATTTGCACCAAAATTTACATGCACATGCTCCAAGTTAGTCGGAAGGCCAAGACTGACCTTGCATTTCCCAACTCTCATCGATAGTGGGAATAATCGATTTTTTCATGCATCTGGCACTTTTCATGTAGTTTGCAGCCATTTTGTACTGGCCAGAGTGAGAGCCAATAAATGGCTGCCAACAATAGGCAGGAAGATTCTATTGGCCAGCGTGATAGCCAACAGCTGACTGACATGAATGTTAACTAGCATGCTAGCATGCAAAAAAATCGATAGCTGCATTCATCACAAGTGGGAAAAATTTAAATCTGCATGGCACTTTACTCCAATTGGCTCATTCGCTTGCTTAAACTCAACGTTGATTCTGATTCCGCAGAACTGGGTTGGGTGTGAAAAGGTATTT